AAAAAGAGAATGTAGATGTATTAATGGGTCTTCGCTTCATCGGCATCACCACCACAAGTAAGTCTGTTAGTTATCGATTGACAAACATCATTTCAGTCATTTATCCCTTCTAATTCCTTCATTAAGGTTACTTTTTACTTGAAAACGCAATATATAAACTGGCGCCTAATTATGAAATGCTCGAGGTATTATAGTAAAAGTTTAGTATCAGGACTATAGTCTGATAGGTTATAACAGACGGCGCTTAAGGATTTAGCCGCTTTCGCAACGCTTTTTTCTCGATGTTATTTGTCGCTCAACACAATTTATAGCAAGCTTATTCGATACAAAATGTCATTCACTACAAAACGTAATATTGCGATTCGCGATAGCATACTGTAACTTTATACAGTTTTGGAAATATGATCCGCGTTCATTTCCTAAACTACTCTATTTGAGAAACAAAGATCCACCTTTTTATAACCACTCAGTTTTTCTTGAGATTTGCAAACGTACGGAATAATTCTTCGTAAAATTCATTTTCATTCTGTCAGGAATTCGCGTTTCTTTAAAAAAAAACACTTTTCGAAAACCTCATAGTGATGGAAATCTGAAGTTATCTAATTTGAATCCAGCCGCAGATCTATTTAAATTTTCCCTACATTTGTAGCCAGGCTCTGCACGTGGCTACGGAGTTTGAGGAACGAATACATACGCACAATCACACCCGCACCGACACCCACACCTACACCCATCTACAGTCACACTCATGCCACACTCACACCCACCCACATCCTATATTAGATGTCATCATGTTGTCCACTTGTAGATAAGCAGTGTGAGAGAAAGCAATCAGGCTTCAATTTGCGCATGGAGACACTGACGGCGAAAACGAAATTCCGTTGTAGAGTATGCGAGGAGGCATTCCAGAATCTCCAAATAGCTTCGTTCTGTCGCCGTACATACGACCGATCTAATAGTCAAATCCAATCAATGTGCCATTGCACCTGTTCGATTTGTAGTTATGACCCACAGCTGCGTCATGGGCAAGGATTATATGCACAAATGTCTACCACCAAGTTTCATCAACATGCATTTAAGTGTACAGTTTGTGGTAAATCCATAGCAACAACTAGCTATTCTGATATCGATATAACAGAATTATCTCCTACTATGAACATGGCCTATCCAACAGAAGAATTCCAATACAGGACAGCAATATCAAAGAGTGCACAGCAAAGAAAACTCGATTCTGACTCCTTAAAAGGGACTAGATCAATTGTTGAACCACACATCTTTATGGATCAACACCGTATGGAACTCGAAAGCGACACCTTCGGAGACCAGATCTGCAGTATTCATCAAGGCTGCAAGCAGGTGGTAACTAAAAATAGAGAGCTCGAAGCTCAGACCAATGAACTGCGACAAGACTGCAACCGTGTGGACGCCAAAAATAGAGAACTCGAACTAAAGGTTAAAGAGCTTCAACAAGGCTGCAATCAGGTGCAAACAAAGAACAGTGAGCTTGAATTACAGATCAACAACATTCAGGAAGTCTACAACCAAGCAGAAATTAGAAACAGAGACCTTGGAGTCCAGATCAACAGTATTCAGCAAAACTACAACCAGGTGGTAACTGGAAATAGAGAGCTCGAAGCTCAGGCCAATGACCTTCAACAACGCTACGACCAGGCAGAAACTAGAAACAGAGACCTTGGAGTCCAGATCAACAGTATTCAGCAAAAGTACAACCAGGTGGTAACTAAGACCAGAGAGCTCGAAACTCAGGCCA